AAATTACATATGATTAGTTCGTTTAGTTTAAGATTAAAGAGCTTTTATTTATTCATACTACACTATGGCCATAGCAGCAAAATGCATCAAAAAGCTAGGGACATATTTGAAATATTTACATAAACAAAAGAAAAAAACATTTAAAAAAATATATACAAAATAAAGAATTTTAACCCTGTAACACACATTAAGTCATTAATGGCCCTTTCCCATGACAGTTGTGTCCATTGTAGAGGCAGCACTGTGTTCTGAGTCTGTGATTGTGGGCGGGTGGGCGTTTGGTAGCAGCAGATTTTCTTCTCACATCATGCATTAATTGTGGGATGGATTCTATCTGGTTGTATTTTCCTGTGGAGGAGAAACACAGTATGGTAACAAGACTCACTTTGAGACTCCTTTGGGATAAATTAATCATTCAACTTGACAAATCTTGTAATAAATCACAATATAAGGAGCAAAGGATCGTGTGGCAAAACGTACTAATTTTTAGTAAGGGGGGCCTTGTCACAGGTCACCTGCGTGAGCTGGCCGTTCTTGGTGAGCGTCGGAGTGTCGCTCTGCTGAAAAGTTTCCGTGGCAGATGAAATTCTTGCAAAGGATCCCTCCCTGTGGTCAAGATTATTATACTTATATTAGTTTGTAGACGTTGAATATTTTCTCACACTAACCCAGTGTTTCCCAAACTTTGTTTCTGGGGACCCATATTTTAAAAGTCACAAATCTTCGTGACCCAAGTCAATAGACATTGTTTGTAAACTCCTGGGAAAGGTTGTGAAAAAATAAAAAACCTCTTGCGACCCACCCAATGGTCGCGACCCAGTCTTTGGGAAACAATGCACTAACCTACCCATTGTTTGATTCCTCAGCCATTTTTAGACCTGGAATTTTCTTTCCGAACAGCTTCACAGCGATGGTCATGAGAAGGCCGCAGCGGTTTCTGTAGCAGCAGGTGGCGTCAACGACAAGGAAAACCACCAAGAAGATGACCATGACCACTCCAGCCACGCCGCCCTTGGTCATGGTGCTGCTCTCTGTGAGGAAAACGTCAAACATTAGATGGGTCGCAGTCCATGGTCATAATCATTCACGTGCACAGTGAGGAGGCACATACGAGGCTTTTCAGCGATGCTGAAGTCCATAATTACTGGCATAGAGGAACCGTTGGCGTTCACCGACACAACCTGCAATTTATAGTCTGACCCGAAAGCCAGGTCTTGAAGGGCAACACTGTCTGCAGTGGATGGCAGCCGCTGCTCTTTCAACTCAGCCCCTTCTTTGTCCTGGAAGAAGTGAGGAGGTCGACAGGGAAGGTGAGGACAAGGTACAAACAGATAAAATGGAGCACAGACGACCAAACACTGGGAGTCAGTTCCTTTCACCTGTTTGAACTGTACGATGTAGTACAGCACAGGACTCCCACCATCGTTCTCCTGCTTCAGAGGGATGGTAACGGAATTTTTCTCTACTTTCATGCTTTTGGGCAACAGAACTGGACTGTCTGGTTCACCTGGAGGATTAAAGCAAAGCTTTTTATTAAAACAAATGTCTTTTTTGATGTTTTAAAGAGCAATCAGAGGTAAAATATAAATAAATAAGTTAACATATATACACTGTCTACATCTTATTAGGCCCTGTACCTTCTGTAATATATACACTGTCTACATCTTATTAGGTCCTGTACCTTCTGTATTGGGATGACGATGATGAGGATGAGGATGAGGATGAGGATGAGGATGATGATGAGGATGATGATGAGGATGAGGATGATGATGATGATGATGATGATGATGATGATGATGATGATGATGATGATGATGATGATGATGATGATGATGATGATGATGATGATGATGATGATGATGATGATGATGATGATGATGATGATGATGATGATGATGATGATGATGATGATGATGATGATGATGATGAAGAGGATGATGCCAAGGACAATAACAATGATGATAAGACAATGAAAATAATGACAATTGATAAATGAGACATGAAAAACCTGAAACTCACCTTAAAATTTACACATTCAAAATATCTAAGGCCTGTTATACTCATTTCATTTTTTCTTCCAAACTTCAAACTACTAAGGCTGAAAATCTGAACACATTTGATGCATTTATAAAGATGTCTTCAAGGTTACAACACTGAAGTCAAAAAGTTCTACACTCTATACTCGTGCCAGTGGATGTGCAGTACTTACGTATTCCGAGGGTTCGAACACTTTTGATGTCTGAGAACTCTCCCACTCCCACTGAGTTCAAGGCAGCCAAACGTACTGAGTACTGAGTGTAAGGCTTGAGGCCAGTGATGACGGCACCCTCTGCAAAAGCAAGGATTAAAACGCATAAGATTCTGCACCAAGCTTTAGACTTAGATAAAAAAGAAGACAAATGTCCATTTAGGGGTTCGATATGTGACACACCTGAGACGGCCACTGTCTTCTCCATCCATTTCTCAGTTCCAATCTTTCTCCACTGCAAGACAAAATTGGTGAGTGGCGTACCTCCGTTGACTGGCAAGATTTTGAGGGAGAAATGGACTGAGGTCGGCCCAGGTATAACTGCCATATAGAGAGGAGGACCAGGCTGGGCTGTTGCACAAAAGAGAGAAGAGACAATTGTATTTAAACACACTCTACGATTTTTTTCTGTTTAAGTTTCACCACATTATTACAATTCAAAAATGGTTTTGTTATAAACTGACATAAAACACACAGACCCACTGTTGGCATGAATATAAAAATTCTGGGTTGAAAGAAAAAAAAGCAACTTGCACCACACACAAAAGCAAATAATACTTGAACATATAACAGTATAGATAAAGGAGATGTGACGTCACAAACACTTACTGAGTAATTCAAAATCCCGAGATGCATTTACTGAGGTGCTGACAGCCATGCAGGAATAAATCCCACCATCAGAGGGCACTATATCTTCGATTGTCATCACTCCGTCCAGCACACGGATGTGTCCAGAGGTCAAGTCCTGACCGGGCAAAGAGAAGGTTATTGGTTTGATCAACCATAGAGTTAAAAAGACTTTTATCATTGTTCAAAGATATGAGTGTGTTTTTTCTCTCTAAAAAAAACAAACAGTGCTTGATTTTATTTATTTATTTTTTTAAAGCTGCCCAAGGTGTATCCTGCCCTCGCCCACTGACTGCTGATTGGCTCGAGCCATTTGGGGCCAACAATGATCCCGCCTTGTTTTGTACATAGTACAATAGTACATAATATAGTTAGTCAATTGATATGTTTTATTGCACTTCTATACTCTAACTTCACCAACTAAAACTTTTATTTTGAAGTCCCAAATCTGGTCTAATTCTATTGGATGTCAGGATGGACCTCCTGACATCCTGACTTTGAAGTCCCAAATCTGGTCTAATTCTGTTGGATGACTGGATGGACCTCAAGAAAAAAAAAAACAACTAAAGGATTAAACCGTATCTTTACCAATGTGCGTCCATTGAACTTGTTGAGCCAGTGTAGCTCAGGGAGGGGATAACCAGAGACGTTACAGGAGACGGACACTTGCCCACCCACTGATGCCACCTGTCGCTCTAACGAAAGATTCACCCCTGGAGCCTCTGCAATGGAAAACAACAAACCAGAAGTCAAGAGAAAATAATGCGCAGGGAATTTACAAGAGTGACTGCTCTGATGCAAAAAGCTGAGAAGATGTCGTTACATAAAACCAACCAAAGACATCGAGCACGATGGTAGCGTTGTCCGCAGCTATGTTGCTGTTGGCAGTGCAAACGTACTCTCCGTCGTCAGCTCTGCTAACAGACAGTATGGTCAACTGGCTGCGGTCGGAGTTGAACTGATGATGTGAAGGGTCAAACGCCACAGGCCTGCAAGTAGGGAAAAAAAACTGAATTTCCTAGGACTGTCCATTCATCTTGGTTCAAATTATGAATAATTGAGATGCTATCTTAGTTCTTACAGGAACGATGCGATAAAGCGGAGTAGGAAGAAGAGGAAAAAGTTTATTAGAGGGAGACAGAGATAAAATTTGAGGAGGATAAGAGTGATGCCACATGACGTTAAGAAGACTGATAAGGTAATGTCTTTCTCTACACTTTGTATACATGTGGCGGCAAAAGGAGATCCTAATCAGTGTAATACAAAATGTATTTTAAACCTATAGGGGTATTGTCCTAGTAGAATGTAGAGTATTTAAAAGTTTGTTGTGGGTTCTTCATCTACTGTATAGAGTTGACACACTCAGCTTATGTTTCTCTATTTTAGCCTTTGTTTGAGCTGTAAGGCAGACCATAATGTAAATCAAAACACAAATATAATGTCTACTCATATTGGTTTGCAAAAAGCAAATAAAAACCACAGTGCTTACAGTGGGGTTGGATCAGCCTAAAAAAAAACTGCTGTTGTAGCTTAGAAATTTAAAAAAAAAACTTTTTGGTGTTTTGTCTCAGCTGACAGCCATTCAAACTGGGCTCTAGGTGAATCTTGGATAAGGTTTTCCAATGTGAATGTACTACAGAGCAGTGTTTCCTAAACTCTTTTTATGGGGACTTTTTAAAAGGAACAAAATTTGCAACTCAAGTCAATAGCTATAACTCCTGGGAAACATGATGCGAGACAACCCAGAAAAAAAAACACCTGCGACCCACCTGAGGGCCACGACCCAGTCTTTGGGAAACAATGCTATACGGCATTAGGTTTGGTTCTACTCTCATTTTAACACTCAGTTCACACACAATCAACACCGTATAATGGAATGCATAAAATGATGCCTTACATTGTCCAGGTGATATTAGGTGTGGGGTGACCCTCCACCAGACAAACCAGGGAGACATTTGTTTCAGGCCCAGCCCTCACTTTTATCACCTCTTCTTTAGGAAGCACTTTTGGAGGAACTGCAAGAAAAAAACAAAACAAAAAATCATGGTTTTTAAAGAATATGAACTTAACTTGGTCATAATTACAGTCTTCATATTAAAAATCTACTCACAGTTGACAACCACAGAGACATCGAGATGCTTTTGTCCAATCGATTTATTGATTTCAGCGTGACAGGTGTATGTCCCAGCATCCTTTCTTTTCACCTCCGCAAAATATAGTGTGTTGTTTGGCAAGTGACGCACGCGCAGACCTTCTGAAGAACGCATGAAAAAAAACATACAAACACAGAGGCAGACAGAAATTGGTGAGAATGGGTCACAAACACAAACACATCAATAAAATAATGTGTTTATTTGAATGTTTTGGCTTTAAATGTCACAGCTACATTTAAAAATCTGCAAATTGCTGCACTTCACACAGCACAACATTGTTCTGCACACCATTCGCTGCCCATACCTGGATTAGAAGGGATTTCTTCATTGTTCCGAAGCCAGAGAACATTCACCTGAGGCTTTCCCGTCACCAGACATGGAACCAACCCGATCTCCCCCTCCTGGAACTCATGGTATGTTTTTGTGCCGTTAAAAGATGGACCCTCTGAAAGAAATTGTGTTTAATGTTTAATCACAGGATTAAACATGTGAAGGTGTGTGTTCCAACCCAGCTGTTACACACCGTAGACAAACACCATGGACCGTGCGATGTCATTGTGGCCGTTGTCGAATTCACATTCACATATGTATGTGCCAGCGTCTTGTAGAGTTGCCGTCTTAATATTTAGGCTGGACGATAATCCATCTATGGGTTTTACAGTTTCATCATCATCAATGGTATTTCCGTCCTTTCGCCAGGTTATTTCTCCTTCTGGAGTTGCTGCAGAGAGAGAGGACGCAGGTGTAGAAGGAAATCCAGTAAAAGTGAGTGTGGAATGTGGAAAACTTTGACAATGTGACTTCTTAAAAATGAAAACAACTCACCTTTACACATCAGTAGTATCTCCTCTCCTACATGCACCTCCACTTTGCCGGGTATAATTTCCAACTTTGCATCTGGAGAAAAAGATAAGCTTTTTTTTTCCTTTTCCCATTTTTGAACAATTTGAACAATCCTATTTTTCTCAGGTGCTCGGTGTAAAGTTTTCTTTGTATCGGTCAGTTCCTGCGTTGTTTCCTGCTTTCACTCCAATCAAAATACCGTGACGTTTTCACACTCTCACTTCATTCATCATTTCGACACCATATCTTAGACGGCAAAGCTCAGAGAGCCAGATCGTACCTGTGCCGTGGAGCATCAGAGACAGCAGCAGAGAGATCAGTCTCAGGGTGGAGCGGCTCATCTTCCCACCTGGATGAAGGTACACCGAGTCGCAAGACCTCAAAGTTAACTTTAACTTTTGTGTTTGTGTTCCCAGATGCACACAAAAACAAAAGAGGCAGAGCTCAAATCCTCTTCTACAAAATGTGTAAACTGAAAATTCTGGAAGATCTGACAGTGAGAAAAAGAAAATTATTGTAATTTTATTAATTAAATCAGCCAAGTGTCACCTACAGGTGACGAGCCAGTGAAGAGCATGACAGGAGTGCATCTGTGTCAGAGGTTTTATAGGAGCATGTGAAGAGGGATGAGAGGAAATGGGAGTGGGTGGGAGACCCTCATCCCTCCTTCAACCCTAAACAGTTTCTGGGAGTAACTGCCACTAAAGTGCAGGGAAACAGGAGGTGATGACGGGAGTTGATGTTTGTCCCCAACTCACTCAGTTATCTTTACAACCTCACAATTGTCCCCATGTTCCCTTTGTCTTATAATGACCGCCCCCACAACCCCACCCACCAGTCTCTCCTGTCGTCTGTCTGTCTGCCCGACTGTCTGTCTGTGTCTTTTTTTGTTTTGTTCCCACTGTTCCTTGTATCTCATCCCTTCCACCGGAGGCAGCTCCCCACGGGGAGAGAAGATGGAGACAGATATTTCTATCATACTATCGTTTTCCTCTCTCATTTAAAAAGGACCACATTCTTGTCAGAGACACACAGTTCATATCAAGGACATTTTATTATCAGTTATATGTAAATATTATTATTGATGGTAACGATAAGTCAAAATGATGCTGAGCTGAAAGAAGCTGAAAAATTGTTAAATCGTTGGTTCATGTTTTCAAGTCATCATTTAACATTTCTGTCGTAGGTGTACAGCACCATATAAGCGTGGAGCTCAGCGATGTTTAGCCTTCCTGCCACATCAGCAGCAGCCTCTGACTGCTGGCTCTGACGCTGTCTGCAGTTCTTCAGAGTGACTCTGGCAACAAATACTACTTTAACCCTCACGGTTTTGTCTCCACTTGGAAAAACCAATAAACAGTTGTTTCTGGCCCAAATCACATGCACACGTACACACACACACACACACACACCAACATGACATCATTCCCCTTTCATCTTTGTTGTGTCAGTGCTGCTGCCTTTCAGGAGTCATTCCCCCGGGTCCTATATCGCAGCCTGCCCCTCCCACCTCCCCTTTAGATAACCTATCAGTGCATCCACACCAGAGACCATTTGGCCAATCAAAGAGCATACGGTCCAATCAGGTGAATTATCAGGAGTTGTGTGATTATGCCTCATTAGATCCGAGTGTGCCCAGAATTGAGGGCTGTTAACAAGGACCATTAACAGGAGAGGGCACGTGCTGACTCCAGTCTGCATCACATTGGTTTGGTTGGACGTGAACTTCTCTCTCCTCGACTGATCCTAATTTTAAAATTCTGTTTTCACAGTACGATCTCTCCTCGACTGATCCTAATTTTAAAACTTGTTTTCACAAGTCTGAACACAGTAACAGCAAGATCCACATTCAATGTGTGTTGGTGATTTGATCTTTTTTACTGCTTCTAAGAAAAACCTGTATGTATATAAATCCATCTTCTTCCACTTATCTGTTACTGGGGTCTCGGAGACTGCTGCCCCCGCGACCGCCATCCAAACCACACTGCACCGTACCACACCCCCTCCCCCCGAACCTTCCTGCAGGTGGTGAGTCCACTGGAAGGTACCAACCGCCCTAACCGGGGTTCGAACTTCACCAAGAGGTGAACCCTGGGGTTCCACACCAATGACAGAGACACTGCCTCTGGGCCAAAGCACCACTGCTCTAAATGTTTCCAGCATATTCTTTGTAATGAAAATTTATAATATTACTTATAATATGTTATGTTTCCAGCATATTCTTTGTAATGAAGAAAACTGCTGTGAAAATGTATAATATTACTTATAATATTTCCCCATATTTAATTCCTGTTCACACAGAGATCAAACCTGTGACATTTTCAACTGAAAGATCTGATAGTACTGGTCTGATCGTCGTATCAGTTTGTCATAATCTGAAAGATCTGATAGTACTGGTCTGATGTATCAGTTTGTCATAACCAATCAGACGCCAGTGCAAAGAAGCTAAAGAGCTGCATGTGGTTTACAGGAGCCAAAACACTCTCACACACATAAAAACGTAAAAACAAATACACAGAATATTCAGTCGTCCTCTCTTTGTCTACGTCCAGACAAATAAACCAAAATACAATTTGAAAAACCTGCACACCAGCCATACAAAGTAAACACTCTTATTTAACCGCTTTCTCACAAACTAACACAAGGTTGAAGAACATAGAAAAACAAATGAAAAATCGACACCCAGAAAGTTCACCTTTCCTCTCTTTGTCTCCCTCCGCTAAATAAACCTATCATTTTAAACATCGGTCCCTTCAGTCCCTTCCAAGACTTCCACAAACTTCCTGACACAGTCGTGGTGTTTCGCTCTCTTTCTCACAAACAAACACACAGAAAACCATTAAAAAAATAAATGTGCTGGGACTGACACCGTGCTGTAGAAGTTTATGTCACGGTGTTGACCACAGTGTTGGTCTAAACAGTCTAAACAGGTCTGTCCTCTGGACAGGTTGTTTGCTTTGGTTGGACAGATGTCAAACCATTGTCAAAATGACAAATATGATATATTTTCATAATGTATATATTTTTGTCTTTCTGCATGCATGAACATGTGACAGAAACAAACGTAACGTACACACACGCACTGACTGAAACAATGATGCTACAGCCGAAGACAGGGGGACGAGACGGGCAGGAAGGAGGGAGAGACAGACGTTTAGTCTCTCGTGACTGGAGAAGACACACCCTCACTCACACCCAGCTTTGTGCAGAAGACATCATATGTATGTGTGTGTGTGTGTGTGTGTTACCTTGGAGACACAAGACACATGGACAACGTTTGACCAAAAGATTTTGACTAAAACGTTTTATTTGAATCTCTATCAACTAACATCTTTAATTATTTATTTTAATCTTTTTGGTGTTTTTTATGCCATTTATATTATATTATATATTATATTTAGATAAACTATAAGACTTCAGTGAATAGGACATTACGGTTTTACATGTAAAAAGTTGCCACAGTGTGAACTTGCGTCAATGTTACAGTAATAGCTGCTCTTGGGATTGTTTGATTTTTTTTTTTTTCTGTGTGATTGTGCAGACGATTGTAAAATGGTCCTTGTGACTCAAATAGCAACAGGCCGGCTGCACACAAAGAGAATACTTCCTCTCTCCTCTGTTCTGTCCATTGTTATCAACGTGAAAGTGACAGCAACGTAACTGCGGGCTATATTTATCCAGCTAATATTTACACACAGGGAGGACGGTCAGGGGAAGGCCTTGAGGTTGTCTACGCCGCTCCGTACGCCAACCATTGTTGTCACATAAACAAGAGATAAACAACAATCACAGTGTGTTGTCTTCCTTCGTGCCATGTCTGCTCACATTGTGTGTTTTTACAGAGACTCTGCTGAGCCAGACTCCTGCTCCTACACATAAGGTCTGCCGGACAGTTGTTTGATCCTCCTTCTACCAAAATCAATTGATCAGTGGATCAGCCAAAAGAACACACGCCAACATGTTCCATCGGTGTGGTCCAACAGGATCCGTCTGCCCTAAAAACAATGAGAATGTTTTTTTTCTTCAAGGTACAAAAGGTTCATATGGTACGAAAAATATTCCAGGGTCAATAAATACAAGGTTCACTATATCTTCACCAACAATTGATGTTGGCTCTAAAACTGGGTGAATGGTATTTAAATCTGTCATGGAGTATTTTAAGGTTAATCACTCAGTCAGTCCATTATCTTCACAGGACGCTGAAGAGGACTTGGTCTCAGTTAATGCATGCTGGTAAAATTCAAAATACAATCAGGAACAATGGAAGGAAGACAGATGGTAGGCTGATCTGGAGTCAGCATGTTTCTGTTCTAGGGATCTAAAGTGCCCAGTGCCAAATTAACCTATGAATTAATTACGGCGTGCGTCTTTGGTAGCCATGAAATGAAATGTTCAAGGAAGGGTCAGAAGGGAACAGATCATACTTTTTGTGACCAGAAATAGGTATCCTGCATGAAACAGACGGTCAACTTTTTGTAAATCATGAGTGAAAATTCTATTTTGCTTTTAACAGTTCTGTTAATAAAATGGAATATATTCTATTCTATAAGTATGGCCAAACAATATTCAATGGTTTTGTTTATTCTTCACAAATGTTACTCTCCTTGTAGAGGAATTAACTTTCAATGTCCTGGTCAGTGCTATCGTTGTAGAAATCGAATCTTCTACTTCTGACAACTGGATATAAGAATAGCTTCCTTGTAGAAATATGTCTGAACTATTCAATGTCAACTAGGTGACAAAATAGATGCCGGGTTAAATATATTCGAGAAAAAAAAATTAACATAGACCAGCAACTTAAAAATGTTTTTTTCTTTTAATGTGCATTAAGTCACATTAAAAGTCTATTTAAACATGTCAACAGCCTCGTCTTCTCTTCCCAGTCATTTCGGGTTCAAATAAACTTGAATCATTTGGCTCCATCTGACATGGATTACATTCACACATGACTATATACAATACACAATCTCTGAATCTCTATTTCTTGTTTGTTTTTTGTCAGAAGAACTTTTCAGAAGTTTGGAAAAGAATGCACAAAGGTGACAGGAATTATTGTCTTTACGCACGGGAAGTGGGTCAGTGTTTGGGGAGTCGGAGATGGAGTAAGACGGCGCAGGGCGAAGGAGCACGTATTCTAGCCCTGCAGCATGACTGTAAATAAATGGTGGTCGGGTCTTATCTCTGTTTTTAGTGTTGACTGAGGTATTTTTCTTTCGCTGAGCTTTTTGCCTCGAGGAGTTGGTGAGGTGAAGGGGAATAACCTCAAAGAGTTACAGCGAACTCTGATTTTGTTATCACTTCCTTTACGCAAACACAGAGGAACAGAGAAGGACGGGGAGAGGATGCTGCACGTATCACCGATACCACATTAGTTTCTTCTTTTGTTTACATGAGCTTTTGATCTCTGGCTGGGGTTAGAATCCAGCTGCAGGGGGGTGACCGGGGGGCAGGACATCCCAAACCCCAGAAAGATGGATCAGGGATTGAGCTTCGTCAACAGACTAATCTGACTTGGCTTTTGACGTTTCATCTATCCATTCATTATCCACTGCCTATTTTCTTGCAGGGGGTGAAAGTACAACATGGACAGTTCGCCAATCCACTGCAGGACCACATATTGAGACGAACAACCATTCACACTCACATTCAAACCCATGCACGCACAGGAAGGCTATGTGAACTAGTTTGATCTAACCATGCTCACTAAACTCATGTTTTAGGTGTATCCCTGGCTGTAAACACATTCTGAGGATGGTATCAGAGTGTCACCCTGAACAAATGTCACTACTGTCTACAGCTCAGCCAGGCCACAGTGCATATTATACTGTCCTTTTGTTTTGAAAAGTCCTTCAGGTGAGGTCAAGTCAATTTACCAGGACAGAGTTGCCGTTTTACTTGTTGAGATACACTTCTTATATGGGCACAGAGAAAATCACATTGTATTTATTGATGTGTTTCTTGAACCAAAGAAAATCACATTGTATTTATTGATGTGTGTCTTGAACCAATAAACTTTTCTTAAATGAAAAATCAATGGTGACTGTAAGTACTGCCTCGCAGGGGTTTAATCTGAACAAAAGTTTTTCAGTTAAGTCTAGATTCAAGACTTTTCACAGTATTCTATGTAGGGGTTATTCAGTTTTATCCACTTTTATAAACTGTCTGAAGTTGAAAAAAATAAAAACAAATGCAGCAACATTACAATCATAGTGAATTCCGACAGCTGTGTGACCTGTGGAGGGTGAGAGCTACGTGACTGTTGTGTCTAAGTCTCATTTGGTCTCCACTGTTTATTTTGTTTCATCTTTTTTGGACCTCTCTGACTACATCCTCCTCGACTCCCCAGCACAGCTTATATCGCCATCCCCTGTCGCGTCTCCAGCCACCAGCTCCGCTGCATGTGTAGTGTCATGCATACAGGATGTGACACGTGCTGCTCAAACAATGGAGTCGCTCCTGAGCTGCAGCCGGGGACAGAGCTGCGGACGCAGCATTGGCACATGACCGAGAAGTTAGGGTCACTTTTTAAAGTAAAATGAAATACAAAAATCCATTTGAAGCATTACTACTAGTCTATGTAACACTGGCATCTTGGTGATTTAAACAATTCTAAAAAAAAGGTTATCTTTTTGTTGCTAATTTGTTGATAATAGGATTTCCTGTTCTCCATGAGGCTAGTTTCTAATTTAGGATGGAGCTGAGCAGGTGAATAATGTGGAAGTACTCCTGGGCCTTGTTCCTGGTGGTCTACGTTCTTCTCCTCCTTATTCCTCCCAGGAACCAGTGTCTGACGTTCTGTCTGTCTCCCTACGTGACCATTTCAGAGTCAGTAAGTGCCAGCGGAGGCCGCCATGGCAGAAGATAATGCTAACTAGCTTCCTGCTATTACTGCTAATTGTCCCTAAGCCCAGAACTGTGCAGGCACCCTGGGTGGGGCGTGACACAAGTGTCTGAGTGTGTGTTCGAGAAATGTCGGCCATTCAACATTCATTTTAATTCAGTTACTATATTTTCCTATATCTGGGAAAAATATATGGTTAACTTGGTACTTTAAAATGCAAACATTTTGCTCAGTTTTACGTGAAGTAAATACACTTCTGTGATGTCTTCAGCTCTTAAATGTTGTCCATGTCAACACCTCGCTGCACAAAACAGACTTTTGTCTGGGCAATGGCTTTTGTTGTCGTTGTCTTTGTATCAATATTTCATGTAGCCTGTGTCATGCCATGCTTAGTTAGCATATGTAAATACAACCTGCATGTCTTCTTCTATGGGGTGCATTACAGGGGTATTATCGCCCCCTTACTGTTAAAAAGTGTTTATTGGCAAGACTGCTGATTTTACGTGGACTCACATTTGGGTCGCAAACCACCAGTTGAGAATCACTTTCAATAAAGTGTGAGTGTTTTCTTTAAAGAAGGGACAGACCTTACATGTTACTCTAAAACACTGTTTTCCAAAGACTGGGTCACGACCCTCAGATGGGTCGCAAGAGATTTTTTTCTGGGTCGTCTCGCATCATGTTTCACAGGAGTTTACGAATAATGTCTATTGACTTGGGTCGTGAAGGTTTGTGACTTTTAAAATCTGGGTCCCCAGAAAAAAAGTTTGGGAAACACTGCTCTAAAATGTAAATGAAATCCAATTAAAAAACATATTTATTTATATTTATATTGTTTAAGTGAATGTATATACAAGTTTAAAAATAATTTAACATAGCGCATGCACCACTAATTCTACAAATCCTGCCAGTATATAGGGTCTGTATACTGGCCGGCCAACTCCAGCACACGTTTGATACGATCTTGCCACTTCCGTGAGAAGATGTTTGTATTAATTTTAGAAATCCATTCATGTTTTGAAGAGGTTGTGGGAAAAATCAAAACATTTTGAAGCATAAATGTGGGCATCGGAGGAAGCGACGGACATGAAAGGGACAAAAGCCACCATTGAAAAATAGGAGTGAGGAAAAGAGAGAGAAGTGTGTGTGTGTGTGTGTGTGTGTTTCTACTGTATGTTGATGAGAGAAGAGCATCAAAGTAGGCCAGCATCCTGTGGGCAGCACAGGGCAGGACCACTGGGCACCAGACAGCAGCAAAGTGGGTGTCCTGGAGCAGGCACCACGACGTCTGCCTTGAACAGACACACACCCACACACCAATACACGCCCACACACACACACACACATTCAAAGAGCCGCACACCCAGATTCTCTGATGGATACAAAAGGCCACTCATCATCAATTTGATTAAAGGTAAAAGTGTGAAGCACAGAAATGAATGAATGATTAATTTTTTAAGACGCATGTTTTCAAAATGTCATTTTTATTTGATTTCACATTATTCTGTTTTTATTTGTTTTATTTATTGTATAAACTCGCTCTGTCCTCAACTCGACCTGTCGAACGTGAGTCTGTTGGTGCTTTGCTGCCGTCTAGTGGTGGCATAAAATAGTGTGGAAATGTTGTTAACCGTAGCATTATTTAAGATTTCTCTTTATTATTTTGTCAAAACGTCAAAAAAAAAAAAAAAAAAAAAAATTTAAACAACCGTGAAATACAATCAATAATTTACCCTTATAGGTAAATTAAATTATTATAATAGGTATTTTGAGAGGTCTTATCGATAATATAACGCAACAAAGAAGAACGATTTAAGTTCCATGATTGAGTTATTTTATTTCAGAAAAAAACTACTCTGATAAATCTGTAATAAATCTGTGAATAAATATCGTTTGTCTCCTTGGTCTAGTTACTGTTGAGAACTAGAAACTTCATAGACAACAACATATTCAATATTAGTGTAATACACCATACGTGCCGCTTTTGAGTTTAAGGGCGACCGCTGCCCCCGCGACCCGGTAACGGATAAGCGGATGAAAATGGATTGATGAATGGATACTATATGGACCAGTTTTCATCAGCACCCCCTGCAGGTCAATGAGGGGCTTCAGATTTGAATCCAAGGACAAGTAAGCACTTCTTGACAACTTGATAAAAAACAAAGAAGCCAACAACACCACAGACTCAACAGCGAGACGTGTGGAAAACATATTTATTTTTGACAGGGTTAGTAGGGTGTGTAGTCACCACTTGTAAAAAAGCACCAAACACATTTCATATTTTCCTATAAAATTATCACTCTGTCTGTACTTACAATTGGGCAGTAAAAAAGTATGCAAAGATTAAAAGTATACCTTGTACTGTACCTTTTCTGTGCTCAAATAAAAGTATTATTGAATAAAGACCATAAAGAAATAACAGGTGACGTTGACGGAAAACTAGTCTCTGATAAATCCCTGTTTTCTCATGAGCAGGACGAACAAAGAAAGTGCTTTGTTGTCATTCTAAATATTGATAAAAATTTAATCCAAACTCCAGGGCCGAGAGAAGTTCTCATCTTCCATCTCCTTCATGATGACTGCAGAGAATCTGGCCAGTTGCTCTGAGCTGAAATGGTTCTTCCAGTCTCCAGAAATACCTGACATAAAATCGTACACACCCAGACAGACAAACAAACACAAGGAATGCTGTTTAGTCAAGAACGGCCTTTCTGTTGATGCGGGCACTGTGCCTCCAGAAAAGACATTCCCCAACCATCGACTTTACCAAACATCAGATCTCACCTTTTCTTAAGAAGGGAGATTTGTCGGCATCCATGTATTGTTTTGGAATCATGCTGAAGTTGGACATGTTGTTGGCCTTCATGCTCTTAAAAGAGCAGTGTTCTGATATCTTCTGAATTGTGTCTTCACTCAAATTACAGCCCAAGAAATCTGAGAAACGCCTCAGAGCTGCAGGAAGGTCCTAAAAGAGCAACAAGTGGATTTGTGTCATTTTCATTTCGTCACAGTGAGTTGACCTTGGTTTTAATACCTACAACCTACCAATTTGTTCTGGATGGTTAAATCTCTTCACCTATTTAGCAAAGATGGCTAACACGCAGAGTAAAAACATCACGGCATGTACTGCAGCAACCGGCACCATTAGAAATAAAGCGTCTTATTTCACCTGCACCATTTCTTCATAGGTGATGTACATTATTCTGTCTCCAAGATCTGTGTGTCTCCAGCTCTTCACGTGATCGGTCCATTTTCCAAACAGCACTGCAGACAACATGGACGTCACCGTACAGAAATAAAAGCTGCAACTGGCTTGGTCATGACCTCTCACCTTTGCCTGCCAAGAATTTCTCCATGAACTCGTCGAACGTTCCTGGATCCTCAAGAAATCCAGCCATCTGATGGAAGTAGTAGGAGGAAACCAGGACGTCCTTGGGGTTCCTGGTGATGTAGATCACCTACAGCACAGCCCACACACAAGTCACTAAATGTGAGAAAACACCGTAAGATTAACATTAGTGGGGGAAAAAAATCACGTAAGAGCCAGAGATTCACCTTTGCCTTGGACTTGTGGAAAGACGGAGGCATGAGGTGGTAAGGAAAATGAGTGACCATTGCCCGTGGAGATGGCAGCTGATCCACAACCACGGCCAGTCTTTTCTCCTCCAGCCACGGCACCCTGTCCCAGTTTGGAATAGTCTGGATTGGTGTCAGATCTCCTCCATTAAGTACCAGAGGCAGGATCTCCTGTGTCCAGACTGTGCCTATAGGAAAACACCACACAGCACAGAACAAAGATATACAATAATGTCACGTCTTTTATCAACTATATTGATAAACAGTAATGTATTACTAGTGGACATCATAAAAAAAAACAACCTTTTTTTACACAGTGTAACTCATGTTTGAAGTCTTAGACTGGGAATTCAGATTTGGCATTAATGGTTAGTTAGTCAAGATTTTTCTCTAAACCAGGGGTCACCAACGTGGTAGCCCGTGGGGTATTTTCTAAAAAATAAAACTAGTTAACAAGAAAGTCAAAAATGGTAGACTAGCAGTGATATTTAAATGGGTGCAATGACGATGGTAAGAAGAGTGTCTACTATTGTATGTCTCAGAACTAATTATTGTTATATTGAGCTCTCATGCAACTAAGTGCCCTTGAAGTAGCTCTCGGTTTCAAAAAGGTTGGTGACCACTACTCTAAACCAACTCTGAGCGGTGAACAGTCTCACTGTACTGTCTGGTCACGAGCACCTTTTAGCATAATGGCTTTATTTGGATCAGTAAGTGATGAACAAGACCAAAATTGATGTTCCGCGGGAACAGAGTCTATATATAAACTTCCCCAAATGATGTAAATGTCCTTCGTGTGTTTATTGATTAGCGATAACGTACAGCTGAACTCGGGTAACTAAAAAAGAAAAGAAAAATGGGTGACAAGGTGCAAATGCTGACACAGAAACACGGTAAGTCGAAAATACATACGAGATAAGTAAACAATAGACACCAAGAATGCACACATTTGTAATCTACGGTCAACAGAATCTGGTAAAGTTCGGACACCTGACTTCGGGTACGTGACAGCCACGACATCATCGTCTCCGAACTCGAATTCCTGCGCAAATTTCAGGCTCTCTTCGCTGTGAGTCTCAGTCGGAAGCGCATATCCACGATAAAACATGTATGTCTGCGTGGCAGACATCGCGGAACTCCGTCGACAGCCTCGGCTTCGAGAGGTGAAAGTATGGAAAACAGGACCAGACAAATCAGTTCTACTTGGACGAGCTTCACTGTTTGCGCCCCCCCTCTCTCTCTTTCTGCCGCCCGACCCCCCCTTCTTTTTTGGTCTCTCGCGTTAAAACGTGTCCCTACAGACGGAACCGTTTAAAAAAAAAGAAATAATTGATGTATTTATCTTCTATGTACGTTTGAAACACAATCACTTCCGTCTATGCCAGTATAAATTACACTGTTAAAAATATATGGGTGGAGTTCTATTTGTTTTGTTTTGTTTTTGACCATGCCAAGAATCCATCAGTTCTATTTGAAGCAGCTGACAGTTCAGCTCAGGGTAAAGCCCTAAATGGCAGGTTCCTGTGTTCCTGGTACAACACCTGGTATTGAAGTGTTGTTCTGCAAAACCTGAGAGCCCTCAATACTTTTAGGGCTGAAATGCCACCTGAAAGCAATGCATTTAGGACACACAAAACCACTGCACTTTCATTATTATTGTATTATTTCTGGGTGAACGTGTGCTTGGGTCCCGTTCCTGTATTGTTTAATTTTGTGAAAGAAGATAAGGTCATAAATGAACCCAGTGTATGTTAGGATACAAGCACAGACATGAGCTTAAATTGTGAAATTGCTTTTTCGCAATATTGCATGCAAGCGATGCACACTTTACTGCCTGTGTAGCGTCTATTAAAAAGTTATGTAAGTCCTGCAGATTTATGACATTTTCAATCCAAATTAGATAAGGTAGTTTCAATCACAATGGCCGTACTTGTCTTAGCTTCTGCTAACGCTGTCAACGATTGGTTATTCGATTTAATGACAGACATGATGGCTGATGCTGATGCTGAAGAAAAAACAGGTACAGGACAAAAAGCAAAGAAAAACGATAAATCTAAATCCTATATTTGAACCAAATCCAACTTCTTCTCTGTCATTTTACTCTGTCAAAGTTTTGTTTGAAAATATTTAAGAACAACAAAAAAGTACTGCACCTGATTTGGGGTAGGTCACAGCAAACACATCAGTATCTTGGACAGAAAAGTTCTGAGCGAACTCCAGACTCTCCAGGGAGTGGGCCTCAGGGGGCAGCAGGAGGTTGTGGTAGTGGATGTACTCAGGGCAGGTCATGGTCAGACACTGAAGGGTGTGCTGCTCCTCCTCAAACGTTTTATAGACTGAGTCAGTCTGCTGCTGGTAGTGGCTTTTCACTCAGCTCTTTATTTTCCAGTCTACATTGCAGGACTTACCCACTTTCTTTGTCAGCATTAAAATCACTGAGTTGAAAATGTAAATGTAAAAAATGAGAACTGGTAAGACCACATTTTTAGAAATCGCCTGACTTGTTTTTGCATTTCTGTGTGAATGTGTGAAATGAATTGTTTGGATTTTCTTTAAACACATGTATATATACAAGCAATGTTTTATGCCTTTTGGAAAAAGGATAGTGTAGTTAGAATACCTACAGTAAACAATTCACTGGGCCCTGAGAGTCATTCATGATATAAGGTGATATTTAGAACGTATATACATTGTTTTAATGCCACGTTGATACAGTCCTAACCAGTACACATTTGTTGCCTTAAAGTTCCGCCTGCATGGGTTCATTACAACTAACCTAATTTTAAGGCCACACCACTCCAATTCTCACTGCAATCTACAAGTTAGAGTCACTGCAGAAATTCCTTGAATAAGCATGCCTACACATAGTAACAACAGTGTACAGACAGAGAAAATAGTATTAGGTAACAGCACAGCCCATTGTGGAGCTTGAATAATGAGAGCTTTGTCAGAGTCCTCAGACCCCAACTGAGAGAGGCCGAACAAACACCAGGGACTGTTCATCAGGCTAGGAAGGAAAGGAAGGCAGAGAAACCAAGTTGGATTGAAAGAAGACGTGCTAAGTTAACAGAAAATGAAAATTAATAAATACATTTTTAAGTGTGAAGACGCACTATTATTCTATCCTCTGTATTCCTCACATTCGAAACAGAACACAAACACTGACCTAGAGGAAGAAGTTGGGTAAAATCATCGAAGGTCTTCAGTAGGGAGTTCCCAGTTTCGCCTGCATTTTCACAGTGTATACGTATATGAGCTACACCCATATGATGTAATATCTTAAAATCAGGCTTCCACAGGAAGACAGCGGCCAACATTATGATCGACACTGAATAATTCATCACCAATTCCAGATCTTTTATTATGATTTCAAATGTTCACACAATGTCTTTTGTAATAAAAACAGTTACAGTTTTTACCTGATGTATTGTCTGCATATAAATAAATTAATACATTTGTGGCCACGTAATTGAATATAAAAAAAAACCCATCAGTTATTGATCCAATAAATCTAAAGACACTGGCTCACTAGAAAACACAAGTTACTTTTTTTTTTTTACTTATTTCTGGCTAATGAGATATAAAATGTACATTTTCACAATTTCAAACATTTGAATTACAAAAGCCTCAGAATTC